CAATTTGTCGAGAGATCAGAGAGCAGATATAAAAAGGTAGTTTACCCAACATGGCTTTGTAAATGAACATGTACAATGACTGAGCCTCCGTACAGTTAGTGAAGGCAGACCTGCCTTGGCATACAGGGTACAGTGATGAGTAAGTGCTTTACAGTTAGTAACAAATCTCAGGGCACTGTGATAGGCGGCATCTAACTTTTCCAGGCAATGGGCAGGTGCATTCATATAGATCAAATCACCATAGTCCAGCACAGGTAAAAAGGTCACAGTGACTAGCCTTTTCCTGGCTTCAAAAGAGAAACAGGACTTGTTTCTAAAAAAGAAGCCTAGTCTAACCCTCAGCTTTTTAAGCAGGTTATTGACATGAAGTTTAAAAGTAAGACAATCATCAAGCCAGATACCTAGGTATTTATAACTGGTAACCACTTCAAGTACTTGTCCTTGCATAGTAACAATATCCAAAACAGGCTCTGGTGTCTTTTTAGCTTTTGAAAATAGCATTACCTTAGTTTTATCAACATTTAAAATAAGCTTAAGTTCAGCAAGCTGAGTCTGAATAATGTTAAAAACAGCCTGTAATTTAACACCAGCCTCCTTAATGGAGGGACCTGCACAGTACATCACGGTATCATCAGCATAAAAATGTAAAGTAGCTTCATCCACATTTTCACCTAAACTGTTGATATATATGGAGAATAAAAGTGGACCTAAAACAGAACCTTGAGGAACACCATTAGCAATGTTTAACCACTCAGAAGACAGCCCATCAAAGTGAACACATTGGGACCTTTCAGAGAGGTAGTTCACAAACCACCCCACTGCATGGCTGGATATGCCGATACTGAGTAGCCTCTGCTTTAAGATGCGATGATCGACGGTATCAAACGCTTTGGAAAGGTCAATAAATAGAGCTGCACAACTCTGCTTATTGTCTAAAATACTCGTAATGTCATTCACCACTTTCATTGTGGCAGTGATGGTGCTATGTTGTTTTCTGAAGCCTGACTGATGTTTAGACAGGATATCATTTTTACATAAAAACTCCTTTACCTGTTCACTCACTAGGCGTTCGAGCACCTTCGCCAGAACTGACAATTTAGAGATTGGCCTATAGTTATTTAAAATAGTTGCCTCCCCTCCTTTTAGCAAAGGCAAGACATAAGCTGACTTCCATACTTTTGGAATTGCATTTGTGCTGAGGGAGAGGTTAAAAAGAGTAGTAAGAGGAAGAGCAATAAAATCTGCAGCTATCTTTAAAAAGAAAGGTTCTACGTTGTCCGGGCCAGCCGGTTTCTTAGGATCTAGCTTAGATAAGGCTTCATGAACAACATTGACAGTAAAAGGAGTAAAACTGAAAGGGTTTTCCAGACCACATTATTCAGAGTCACGGATTGGGGTGTTCACAGAAGCAGAGTTAGAAACAGAATCAAACATAGAACCGCAGGACACAAAATGCTCATTAAAGCAATTTAACATAGTGGCCCTGTCCGATATAGTGCCAGATGCTGTGGTAAGGCACGGAGGTAGCTCATTACGGATCTCACCGGTGGATATCGATTTTATTGCTTTCCAAAATTTCCTAGGATTATTTAGGTTTTCTGTGGTAACTGACAAATAGTACTTCGACTTTTGACATTTGAAGTGAAGCTATTCCTTAGCTGCCTAAAACGCAGCCACTCTACCTCTGAGCCTGATTGCCTAGCCTTTGCCCAGGCCTTGTTTCTCTCATGAAGGAGACTAGACAGCTCAGCAGAAAACCAAGGATTGTCTCGTCCCTTTACTCTAAATGTACGCAGCGGTGCATGTCTATCAATGATCTCCATAAAACCAAGATAAAAATAAGACCATGCGGTTTCCACATCAGCACACAGATCGATTTTACCCCAATCAAAATCAAACAGATCATGCACAAAACCCTGCTCAACAAAATGTTTTTTGTCTCTCTTAATGATAATGCAAGGTTTAACCTTTTGGACCTTAGTGTCCCTAATTGTGGCTACAACACAGTGATCGCTCAGATCATTTGCAAATACTCCCACAGATGAATATTTATGGGGAACATTAGTTACAATTAGATCAATTAGGGAGGATTTATTAGGGGACTTAATATTTGGGCGAGTAGGACTGTCAACAATCTGAGTAACATTCAAAGAGATACAAAGGTTTTTAAAATCCTCTGACACTGCAGTTAACCAGTCCCAGTTAAAATCTCCAAGTAGCACTATTTCCTTGTAGTCTAGTTGTGATAAAAGATTTGCTAGTGAAGACAAGGAGTCTTTGACAGCTGAGGGGGGTCTGTAACAACTCACTACCATGACCTGTTGACCCTTTGCCACTTCTATATTTATGGCTAAAAATTCAAATTGCTTACTGATCGATTTGGAAACTAATGTGGTTACACTGAACGTATTCTTAACATAAATGGCAACGACACCACCTTTATTAGGCTGGTCGGTACGATACACATTAAAACCATTTAAGGCAATGTCAGAGGCCAAAATAGATTTGTTTAGCCATGTTTCTGATAAGACAATGACGTCAGCGTCAGTCGATTTTGCCCAGATACGGACAAAATCTAGTTTACCTAACAGACTGCGCACATTCAAGTGGATGAAACCCAACCCAGACCTAGCTTTAAAATCAGCAGGAGTAGCGATCTGACTACTACTACTGGGCGGACCAGGGTTAGGTTGTACATTTCCTGACAGTAATAATAACAAAAAAAACAGGCATCTTTTCCTCTTAAACGACACAAATACATTGTCATCTAATTTAGAAACACCGGAAAAGTCTGCGAGAGTGTGATTAGAGCTTAAGAAGCAGTCCTGAAGAACCATCATCGCAGGAAAATAAAAAAGACAAACATATTTTGTCGAGCAGATTGACTGTGACAAGGCAACCGGTAATTGTTTGAGCAACACATCCGAACCTTTGCAGGGGATGCCCACTGCGGGTGGAAGAACAGACCTGAATCCAGTAGTCTTCTCAGAATGACTAGAGATCTTCTCATAGTCCAAAACAGTTAACAGGCACAGCAGAATCCCGATATGGGCCATTTTCCTAGACCAGCACACAGTATCCGCGATGTTCCTGGAGCAAAATCAGCACAGCAGCAAAGGACAGGCGAAAACAGCAGCGTGGAAGCGCTCCGGTCCCTCCGTGGTATCCCCGGGGTGAAAGCAGGCCTCTGCAACAGCAGAACCAGGACAGGTGGAAAGCAGGCCCCAGCGGTGGTAAAATCCTCCTCCGTAGAGCAGCACACGCCCGGTGGAAGCAGGCCAAGCCCGAAGCGTGGATCCACTCCGTCTCTCCGCGACGACTCCGGGGTAAAAACCTCTCCAGTACAGCCGTATTCTACAGGTGGGAGCAGGCCTCCGTAGATTGCAGATCGCAGGCAGCAAACAGGTGGAGCCGCTCCGTCTCTTCGCGACGAGCAGGCCTCCGTAAATCGCAGATCGCATGCAGCAACAGGTGGAGCCGCTCCGTCTCTTCGCGACGTCTCCGGAGGAAAAACACCTCAGTACAGCCGCACTCGACAGGTGGGAGTAGGCTTCCACAGTTCGCAGACAACTAAAACTACTACTTGTATAAGCAGGGATGGCTAAACGTTTGTAAGCAGGAGAGCTAGATGCTGCTAGATGCTAACAGATGCCAGATGCTAACAGGTAAGTGCAAGCCTGTAGAAATTGCGACTGCCTCCAATGACAGCGTAGATGTGAGTGAAGGTGAAAGTAGGCACAACATAAATTAATAGATAAAATAAAACCATAAGTACAAATCAAAACTGGCCAGGAGGGAACAAAAACATAATAATACATAACATAAAATAATAGCTTTCAGTTTTGTCCATCACAGCAACAACAGGTGGGCCCCCCCGCAGTGTGTGGGCTATTTTGTCACCTAGAACAGTGATTCTCAAATGGGGGTATGCGGACCCCTAGGGGTACGTTGGGGTACTGCAGGGGGTACGTGAGATTTATAAAAAAAAAAAAAAAAAGTTAATTTAAAAAATACCATGCATGATTACAAACATAATATTAGTACAATAAGTTAAATAGAAAACACAATTTTATATAAAATATTCCTAGAACCACCTCATCTAAACATGTCAAATGTGTGTATTGTATAGTTTTGCATCATTTTGTTCATTGGTTTGTTAAACTTCAATTGAAAAACTCCTTGAAAAAATCTGTTTACATTTTTTTTCGTTATTATTTTTCATGCATAAAATGAAAATATCCTTAGTTTGTTGTAATGCATGCATGAAGGAGTAAATAAATCACACACTGAGGGAACATCACTATATTGGAATTATTTGTATAGGGTTTTTCGATCAAAAATGTTCGGGGTCGGTCAGGGTGTACTTGGCTGAGAAAATGTTTCAAAGGGGGTACATTACTGAAAAAAGTTTGAGAAGCACTGACCTAGAACCACTGGTGTCTTTAACTCTGTCAAACAACTCTCCACAGAGGCAGGGGCAAGCACATCTGTTATTATGGATGCTGCTTTTGTACGACCACATGACATTTTCTTTACTATCTCAGAGTCTGGAAAAATGGTCGGCGCTAGCTTGTTACCACAGTAACTATTGTAACACTGGTTATTTCTGCTGCTGTTACCTTGTCTGAGTGGCCATCATTTTTTGGTTTGAGTAGGAATGTCTCCATAGAGTGGGATGTCTCTTTTTGAGCGACACGTTTCTTGTGAGAATCGCATTCTCGGTGTCTTTTGACGTCGTATTCACCGCCATGTGAAATTGAAAAATTACTCTTGCAAAAAACTCCCTCTGAGAGTCGCCCTGCACTGGCTTCACCCACGGGTAAGTGTCTTCCCAGTCTTTGTTGTATGTGCATCTTCTTTTCTTCTTAGCTGTAGTTTCAGTTTCCTCCATTTTCCATAACCTGCTGCGTCGCCTGCCGGTACGTCCACACAGCAGCTTTTCAAAAATCTTGAAAAGCTTGGAGCTGGGCGTGTTTGAAAGCTTGGGGATTTTTTGAGAGGCTACACAATGGTGTGTGGATCCGAAGGGTCTTCGTCTCAGGGACCACGGATACTGGTTTTGAGAAAGAGAGATTTAACACAATTCTCGAAATGGAGCAACGTGAGTACAATGACATAATCCAATGGGACTTTCATGATTCATTTTTCAACCTCACCTTGAAGCAGATCCTCTTCCTGGAATGGATGGAACGAAACTCTCCAAACGCTCACTTCCTTCTGAATGGTGACGATGACGTCTTTGCCCACACAAACAACATGGTCGAGTATCTCCAAGGCCTAAAGGACAACGATGGAAGCAAACACCTCTTTGCTGGTCATCTGATCTATAACGTATAGGGCCCATAAGAGCATCTTCGAGCAAATACTATATCCCAGTGCAGGTGCAGGAGTCAAACTCATATCCCTCTTACTGTGGTGGTGGGGGCTTCCTCCTGTCTGGTTATACAGCTATGGTTATATACAAGATGTTTCGGTCTATTACCATTCTTCCCATTGACGATGTTTACATGGGGATGTGTCTGGCCAAAGCAGGACTAAGTCCTGCTTCTCATATGGGCTTTAGGACTCTTGGACTGCGCTTGCCTTCAGCAAGTAGAGTACAGAGCGTAGATCTATATGATCCTTGTTATTATAGAGACCTCTTACTGATACACAGATTCTTATCAGCTAGAATGTATTTCATGTGGCATAAACTATCTGATCTGAATTTAAAATGTGGACCTTGAGAATATGATTCCTTGACTTGTGTAAACATTATATTATACTGATTTGTGTGAGTGTCAGGTTAATCTAAAGTATCCACTTGTGTACGAAAGTATGACTTCTTATTATCATTGCTCTGCTCTTTTGAAGACACAGTCTAACCTATTTTAATGTATTCAATTATTCATATAAATACAGTTATATTAAAAAAGCTAATTTTACAAAATGTCAATCAATAAACAATTACAAAAGCTGTTTCCACAAAATTGCTTTATTTCAAACACGTGAGGGATTTAAAAAGACTACATGAGTAGTACATGAAATTAAGCCACTGAAAAGTACAACAATTACCACAGTATAAATGAATTAAGAAAAATATAAAATGGCCACAATATTTTTTCTAAATATATCTTTATAAAAGAAAGATTTTTTCTGCCAACAATGCGTTATGAACATTCAACATTTTTTGTATCGTTTGTTTATCATCATACTGTTTAACAAGAAAACATGGACAACTAAAAACTCTTCAATGAACGTGATCTTATGTGAAAATGGCCGTGAGAATACACCTTTTGTGGAATATGTATTCTAATACTTTACTAAAGTAAAAATACTATTGCCAAACTGGGTATTGGTACTGCATTCAAAACCTTACTTGTGTTAAAGTATGACCGTATTATCAGCTAAATGTACATAGAAGGTATCAAAAGTACAATGAGTCCTTGTGCAGTCAGATGGTCTCTGTCTCTTGTATATGATGTTTCTATATTAATGTTACTGCTGCATTAATGTCTATCTGAATATGTAAGATTGTGCTATTTTTAACTCCTTTATATACTGCTGGGTAGTTTAATCTACAGCGATGCCTCATATTCTATATTACCAAATGTCTATAGCAGTTTTAGCTTTGTGACAATGCATTTTCAAGCTAATCTAAAAGAGATTTAAGGGATTGTCAGCCTTTAGGGTTCTCTCTCTCGTCCTGCATGATGGCTTCAATTTGGTTTCCCAGGCCAGAGAAACAAGGTCGCTCCTCGAAGTCGTACGCCCAGCACTGCCTCATCAAACTGTACACCTGGTGTCATAAATGACAAAAATATAATCTTCAACAAAGCGAATAACTGTTATTTAAATGGTTTTGTATGAGAGTTGTAGTGACTAGTCCAACAAGATGGGGCAAAAATGTTTACAACACATTTTATCCACAGCAAAGACTCTTGTAATTTTCTTCCAGAATTAAGATAAACATTTGCATAATGTTTTTTTTCATTTTGAGCAACACTTGCATTGTATAAAACAGAGGCCACATCATTACCCCAAAGATGATTTACATTGTAATTACCTTAACATTGCAATATATTTGTTAGAGCTAGGTAGAAAAAGTGACAAATAAAATACCTTTTTAATACTAGTCCTACACAAGGACTACTGCATTTCAACTATTGAACCACGAGTGAACATACCTTGGCTGGGCAGTTTGGAGGAGCTGGCATCCTCCAGTTATTCTTTAGAATATTTGCCAGATACATTGAAATGGACTGACTCTGCACATTGTTTCCAATCTCCCGCATACATAGCTAAAACAGTCAAATTAAGGAAAGATTGTTTTAAAAAGGGGAAAATATTGAAACATTTTGAATACATAAAGACAAGTAAGCTTCTTACTCTTTTTGGGTTGGAGTTGATGTCGCAGTAGCTGAAGAGCTCGTGAAGAACGACTCCAAAACTCCAGACATCTGACTTGTGGGAGAATCTGGACTCATTGATGGCCTCTGGGGCGTACCTGCATTAGAAGAGCAGTGTATGGTTGAATATAAGGCTACAGTTGGCAGCTGATATGTTAGCTTAGTGCAAAGCCTGGAAACAGCTATCTCCGTATCTGATTTGAATGAACATTAGGCCTCGACACAACCCTTCACAACATTTTTCATTGGTATATCATTTATCATTCAATGCTAGGGACATTTTGGGTCCACAAACTGCAAATAGTTACATATTAATGCAATTACACTTCAGATAAAAGAGCATTTGAATGTTTAATAATAAGGATAGCTACCAGAAAATGGGGCTATCTCCGGGTTGCGATACTCTGTAATATTCCTTGTCAAAAGGAACAACCTTGGTCAGCCCAAAATCAGCTATTTTCACCAGCGACTCACTGGCCACTAGGATATTTCTGGCTGCGAGGTCTCTGTGCACATAGCGCAAGGTCTGCAGGTGCTCCATCCCCTGGAAATGAGAAAATGACAAAACAGAAAAAAATGAAATATATTTTGTCCATGTCTAATTTGTTTTATGCTGTGCAATCATCATTTGGTACTAGCTTATAGCTTGTGAAAATGTAGTTGATTTGTGGAGAAAAAAAAGATACCTATTTTTGTAATATTAAAGCGTATACTTGTTTTTGAAAAGACCTCAGGTCTTAGTATTCAAAAGATCCATGTAAAAGTGGCAAGATTTTGTCAGGCAATAATTCAATCACTATCAATTCAAACAGAACCTTCTAAAATGTTGTAATTCTAACTGTTTGCATGAGTTGAGTTCATACATCTGACTCTTACCTTACAGATCTGAGAAGCAAAAAGCAGCAAACGCCATGTGTTGACGCAAAGTCGGTTACTATCCAAGTAGTTAATAAGGCTGCCGTAGGGCAGGTACTCCATCACCAAACTCATACTGAGGCGACCTGTGAACAAACAAACATTGAATTTATTCAACCCAATCAATTACAAACCCTGAAAAAGAACACTTCTAATTGTATCTCTTGTATCTGTATAAGTCCCTCGGCACCATGATCTAACACTGTGATTTAAAATGTAAATCCTGGATTATGCAGAAGATGCATATAATAATTATAGTATAGTATAACAAAAAATGACACCAAGTCTGGCAAATAACTGTTTTTAGGACATTTAGTTAAAGCCACAATGGTATTTCCTTGTGTGTACTTCTCACTTAAGGGAGCAAAGACATCTATTAAACAGTGATTACAAAAAACGAACTCTTTCCAAATAGAATATATGATTAATCAATTATACATTTAAATAAGCAGTCTTACAAATGTGTTATTTTACTGAAGTTGATGACCACATTTTAGAACATCGTGTGCTATGTTTGCAATAATTGTTTTATTACCTGTGCTGTAACAGACTCCTTTGTATTTGACGATGTACTCATAGTCCAAAACACTGAGGGTTTTGACCTCCTTCTTGAAGTCCTCAAGGGTCGACAGCTTGTTGGGCTGCAGCTTCTTTACAGCGACCATCTCACCAGTGTTATCCCCCAGCGGGTCATAACGGCAAAGTTCAACACTGCCAAAGTTTCCCTGGAAAGGTTTTGACTCGTTCAGTCAGTCACATCCCAAAAACTTTTAAATTACCTCACCACCATGCCCTCACAACAGCCTGTTTACACCTGTTAGTCCATCAAACACAAGGTCTTGTGCACCACTGAGGAAGTCTAAAACGACAAGGGTTGATTAAAAATATAAAAAAGGCTGTGTATTTTAAGTTGTCTTAACATCCCGGGCATACAGACAATACTAGCACAGTATCTTGACAAGATTCATTTCGATTTTCTCAAAACACAAGATCATGATCATTAAAGTGCACTGATTGTCCAAAATTCTAAATATTGTAGTCCTATTGTGGCACTGCAGACTTACTTTCCCCAGAGGGGAGATGTATCGTAGGTGTCTCTCCTCAAACAAAGTCTGTTCGCCTTGATCGGAGCTGAGGGCTCTCCACACAGGGCTCTGTGCCACGGGCTCAGTGGCGTGCAGTATCACATAGTCTGCCATGAAACACAAAACACAAGTACTGACTTTTTGTTTCCTGATGTATTCAATTCACCTGATTCCAAAACCAGTACACATTTTGTGAATGATCACAGATACATTTTGTTATTGAATTGAAACACACTAAACCCTTTGATAAGATATGTGGTTTATATTGGTTGTATTCATTATGAGCAAAGTATTGATACACATGATTACCTGAAGTGATCAGACTGTTGAGTTGACGGATGATGCTGCGACAGGAGGGTCTGAACGCGGCCTGGTAGTCCATGCACTGACTGACCAGATCAGCCAGCTCCGTCCACTGGGAGGGAGGCAGCTGCTGGAAGCTCCCGTAAAACTGTCGCTTCTGCAGAAAACATCAGTGGCTCGTATCATTCACTGTACTATCCCCATAGGCTAGATGGTAAAATGCATGGTTGCATTTAAGATCTGATTCACAGGTTTCGTCACCTTCAATACCAGTTATTTTCTTGAACCGGCTCTTTAAGTCACTTGAACTCATAAGCAGCTTAAGCAGAGTAATACAACAACCTGTTACTGCTACCAGTTAGTTTATATAAAGTACAAAATAAAAGTAGTACCTTATCCAGGTCACAGCCCTGCAGTGGTGTGTTCCCATTGTTGAAGATTTCCCACACAGTGGCACCAAAGCTCCACTTATCACACTCCAGAGTCAGGTTGTCTGGGGCCTCCAGCACTTCAGGGGCCACCCAAGGGATCCTGTCTAGGATCACTAAACAAACACACACACACACACACACACACACACACACTCACAAATAAATAATGCACATGGACTAGGTTTCAACCTTTTAAATGTGTTAAACATATTTGGATGTCATTTTGTTTTTATTTAATACCTTGAGATTAATGTATGTGTGTGTATACAGCAAACACTTAGTAAGTCCATTCACTTTTATATAGTTACTAAATGGTTCTATAACTATAGTATCATTCATCAGGTGTCTCTACTTCCCTGAAGATTTACCATTCTTCCCCAGCATGGCCACACTGATGCCCGGGTCACTCAGCTTTATGAACGGAGAGCTGCCCTGTGATGGGTCACCTTCTCTGGCCAGCAGCAGATTCTTTCCGCAGATATTTCCATGAACAATATTCTTTTCTTCCTGTTAGGCAGTATATGTTGACTTATTATAGTGAGCTGCATCGTTCAACTTTGACAAAGTTTAACTTGCCAATCCTGGGTCTAGTAGTAATGCTCTA